GATGTCGTTGTTTGGCTACGGCTAGGACTTGGTTCTAGTACGGGGGATTGTCCCTCTATATAGTCTAGTGCGCACATAGGGAGGTTACCAATGGGCTAGTAACCCTAAAGTAACTATGTTGTCGGTCTGATCCGGCGTGACGTCCGAGTATCCACTTTGTTTGATTTCGTATTTCATTTCAAGTTGATAACCAGATGATATTGTGACTTGTTATTCCTTATTTGATTTCCTATTTTGAGCTTAAGATGTAGCTTTGTGAAAGTATGCTTCATGCGTTGTATTGGAAGTTCCATTGTTGGTTAAATTGCATTGATATCATAATTTGTGTTTTGATGTTCAAATGTAGTTTAGGAATGACCTTATAGATTCATTTTGAACATAGACGTTAGGTGGCATGACCCACACTTGTTGTTTTTGTATTTTGGATTTCAAGTTGTAAACTTTGAGAATCTATATCTTTTTGCCTTATATAACATGTTTCCATGTTGTTTGAATTGCATGAACAATGTGATTATGATATAAATGATCTAGGTAGCTTAGGATGCTCCTTGGGTCTCATCTTGACATAGACGTTAGGTGGCATGAGCCCCTTTAACATGTTTCACTATAAGGTGATAAAATTGTAAAATGCTAGGTCGATGCATGCTCATCTCCTACGAGTAGCTTTATGTTACTCACCCCTACGATACTGGGGCATATTTTAGGTATTGGACTCCGGATTTGAAGATTCCATTGCTCCTTGGATGGCTTACAGTTTCTATGTTTTTATTTTATGCAAGTGTTAGCATAAGACGCCTCTTTGTAGCCCTATTTGTTTAAACTTGTATTCGTTGATTCGTATATGTAAAGTGTACGTAAGTGCACTCTTTTCAATATATTTAACATGTATGAGATGAGGCCGGAGGCCAATGACATGTATCTCATTTTCTAAGCACTTTTGTTTTCAAAGTTTATTATGAAAATATTGAAAAATGTTAAGTCATTGCTTCATAACTTTCGCATCGGGTGTTGGAATTTCATATCTTTTCTGCCCGGACTCAGAATCAGACGATTCTTGAGTCTAGTTTTGTTCATTTTTCGTTGTCCTTCCAATGGTGTGCATGGTGGCACCCTTTTCAGTGAGAAATGACCATTTTGCCCTTAGTTCATCTCTTTCCGGGTTAGGCATTCTTGCTTCATTTGCTTCGCTCATTTGAGTTCCGTGGCTTCATGAAGAGTCATTTTGGGGCCTTAGGGATGACGTACATCTCTTGAGATCATTTGGCTTCTTTCGTTTCCGCATTTCGGGTCCGTTATCGGGTCAACTTCCAGTTCATCACTAACGCACCAGGTTGAGAAATCCGGGTCGTTACAGGTGGTATCAGAGCTCTTAGGTTTGAATGCCTTGGACGACTGGTTTTGGGTGCATATCATACTTATGTTGCCATGCTCTATGTGTTTATATGCTTCATGATAACATGTTTTGGTTTGATAATATGTTTATGTGCTTACGTGCTATATATGGTATGCCATTTGTTTAGCATGATTTAATTATTATGTAAAGAGCATGACATATGATGTATTCTAGATCAAATTTGTATATACATAACTGTGTTGTATATTTGGCATGACACGAGATTGGTCATTGAGGCTCGAGTTGAGGTTGATGGTGATTGTAGTCACGGTTGTATTGTAGTTTAGGTTATTGTTGACCTAGAGTTAGTTTTGCGGTAGGTGGAGAGACACCTTTTGTTTAGGCTCTTGTGGGGTGAGCCATTAGGCACAACCGTAGTATTGGATTTGTTGATTTTAGGCCATGGTTAGGTTTTGGACCTTTTGGGATCCTTTGTTGTTTGGGAAGGTTCCTCTGAGATTACAATTTTCGTGGGCGGGTACGTTATGGGCGGTTGCATGGCACTGTCATGCTACCATACTGGCAAGCTACTAATGCAGTCCGGATGGAATCAGCGTTGGGTTTTGTTCCGACTAGTGTAGTCCTTTTGATCGATAATGATAATGGTTATTTTGGGGATCAGTCGTAGTGATCGATTTGGTTGTCTGATTGTATGGCTAGAGTTGCCATTTTCTTTGAGTTCTCCCTGCGCTATGATGCTTTTGGGGTCAAGTCATTTGATAGATACTTCGGGTAGAGAGAGCATTGCATTGTTAGTGTCACTTGTAGTGTCACCCTTAGATTCAGAGATGGATTGTAAGAGTTCACGTTTGTTTTGAGACAAGTTGTTGTTGCATTGGTTTTTGGAGTCAGTGTATGGCTAGGACTGGTCCTTCCTTTTTACCTAGGCACTCTAGGACACGATGTCGATCGGTTTCATTGTTGCATCACTTTTGTTTTCTATAGTTTCATTTACTATCTTGTTAGTAGTATGATTTATGATATTGTGATGCATGAGTAGGTGGAGGTCTATCCACGTTTGCTTTCTTGTTGTGTGGCAATAGCATACATTTCTTATATGCTTCGAGATGCCATGTTGTTACTACGCTTTAATGACAGGCTTTTGTGTTTATGTGGAGACGTGCAGCATGTGCTTTCGATTTTCATCTATGTAAGTTGATTTTCTTTCTGGTAGTTACATTCTTTGTCATATGCATGACTTTCAGGTTTGGTTTTCCCATTCGTTTCCCTTGGTCGCACGTAGTCTGTATGCGGGTTTCCACAATGGTTTTGTGCTGGTTCGTGTTAGGGACTTCACAAGGAGTGAGTCTCTTCCCTCCATTACGTTGTGCACTGTTTTGGGGTTGGTTGGTCCATGAGGATCATCGTTGTTGTCTTGAGTCCTTGGTGAGGATTTGATAGATTTTGGTCGACTTACTTCCATGTAGGGGGTTAAGTCATTGACTTTGTTGTCTTTCATTTTAGAGATAGAGTCGTGGTATTGTCCTTTTTAGGACTGGTGGTCCCCTTTCTTTCGTGTCTTCCCTTGGGGAGTTTTTACCATGTTTGTTGACGGAGTTATGATGCTCAGGGTGAGTTGATTTGTGTGAGATCATTTTACGAGGGCTTGTGTCCATATTATTGAGGATCTTTTTGATTCGTGAGGGGAGCTCGATGCTCTTTTGAGGATGTCTTTTGGAGACTTGTTTCAGTTTTGGAGGCCTGGATGTGGTTGACTCTAAGGAGGAGTTTTGGAGGATCGTTGTTGGATATGGCTTGCTTGTGGAGTTTTCTCGTCCTAGTTATGGCTAGGCATAGTTTTTAGGAATTGTAGTTCCAGTGATTGATTGTGAATTGAAATTAAAGGATTTTGATTTAGCTTGGTGATGCCAAGCACGGTTTTGAGAGATTCATTTTGTGACTTTGGTTGTCAGGACTTGATGTGTGTACCACTTAGTGGACTGGTATTTCGAGGATTTGGTCACCCGTAGTAGGGATTGTGATCCGATGTTTGATTTCGGTTGTGTTTTGTAGTTGATCTGTTTTAGGATGATATTTGGGATTTCGGAGATGATGTTTTGTTTGTTAGGCTTTGGATTCGTGATTTAGGTTGTTAACAGGAGTATTTTGAGGCGTTGGAGTTGTTGGTTTTGTTGTATTGAGGACTAAGGACCTTAAGCTTAGCGGTGCCTGTGACATTGTTGTCAGAGTTTTGGGATTAGCTACCCCAACTCTCACAAAATGCCTGGTTCCCATAGTGCTTTTGGTAATGATGATTCACGACATTGATGTCATTTGTATCAAGAGGTTTCATGGGTGGACCTAATGGGGGGCAGGTTATGAATTAGTGCCTTATACTGTCATGCTACCTTACTGACGAGTAAGTGTGGGCGGGTTCTGGTCGCTATTCGTACAGCCACGTTGTCCTTGTTTTGCACTTTGATTTAATCTGTGATGATCTTAGAGTTCTTTTTAGGTTATTTTTGGATCGGTATGATGGTTCATCAGGAGAAATGCTTATGGTTGTTGTTTTGCCTTTTGACTAATTGTGTGACCGTGTGGTCAATTTCCTTTTGAGAGGTTGTCCTGTCGTAAGCACGTGGGTGCGAATGACATTGGTTTGTACGTTGTCTTTTAGCTTTGGGATTGCTTATGTAGCACGTTGTGCGGGGTACTCAGAGATGTACTCCGTAGTTATCTTGGTTTCACTTTTAGTTTCTTGGGGCTGGATTTCGGGGACGAAATCCCTTTAAAGTGGGAAGGTTGTAATGACTCGGTCATTTTCATTTCTTTCCCTTTCTTCAAATTTTGCAGATATATTTTTTTCATTGTCTTTTCCATTTCAGGTTCGATTTCCCGCCTCTTAGCGTCGTCTCGAGTTCTCGGAAATGGTTTCTGAGACTCTTTCCTTTGGATTGACAACTTCCTTTGAGGACCGAGTCATTTCCACATTTATTTTTTTTTAACACTATTCATTTTTTCGTCTTTTCCCTTTTTCGTCCTTCAGTCGTTTTTCATTTTTCCTTGCTTAACCTCACTTTTTGTGCTCGGATTTGATTCCGGCTTGGCATACGTCCATGATATTTAAATTCCATGACATCTACATTTTTAATTTGGTAGAAATGCATATTAAATGCTTACTTTCTTTATAAAAGCCATGAAAACAAGACTTTTTGTAATTATCCATAACTTGAAGGGTTTTTGGGTAATTAAGTAAAGTAATTATTTTTGGTCTAAGGGACCATTTTGCAAATTAAATTGGAAGATATTTTCAAAAATGACCTTTTTGCAATTTTCGAAAAATGTGACAAGTGTCACATTCCTATGGTGCCACTTGTTGATTTTGTGGTGGAATCACTTGGAGGTTTAATCTCATGACACATAGAGGTTGGAGATTCACCCACTTGTTGTCCACGGATTGGTGCACTTGTTGGCATGGATGGTTGACAAGTATAGGGTTAATATTTAATCTTGGAAGCTTACTTGGATTCATGACAAGTGTAGGACTCACCTTTAGTCTTGCATTAGTGTGTGTGTGAGAGGTAGTGCAAGAGCATCTAGTGAGTGGAGAAGCCCACCAATTTAGCTTAGGGTTTACACATTTTAATTCATTAATCACTTTCCTCTCAAGAACCCTAAGGAAGCCACCATTGGAGAAAAGCTTGACTAGTAGCTTTGACTTCATTTTTGGCGCCCTTTCACTCACCTTAGAACTTTGAACTTGGAATACTTTAGGCTCCTCCCACTCTCCTCTTCAAAACCCTTGAAGGATCTAGCCTAACTCCTAGTTTTGCTTTGGTATCTAGAGATTCAATTCTCTAGTGAGGTATTGATCTATTATTTTGAAGTATTTTTATGTCATTATTGAGTGTTTTACATGCATGGAAGAGAAGGACTTCTATTTTACCCTTAAAATGTTTTAACTTGAAATTAATCTTGTCAAATTAAATATAGAATATGAAAATATACTCAATTATCTTTCATTTAGTTTTGGTTTCATGCAATTTGGATTTAAAATGAATTAGTTATGAATTTTTGAAGTTGCAAACTTGTTGCTGGAAATTTGAAGCTTTTCCTTTTCAGTCCGGAAATGAATTTTTTATATGGAGCTGTGGTGCTTCAATTGCCTTGAAATTTTTTATAGAACTTGTACCGTAGGTTTTACACTACTCATAATATTTTTATGATTTTAGAGCATTTCTAAAATTTTTTAAAAGTCCGAAACTATCTGTTGTCCATGTTTTTATTGCAGCTGGAAAACATATTTTTAGATGATTTATTTCTCTAACCTTTTGACATTGGATCATGGCTTAAATTTCCAGTTTTACACTCTCTTATGTTTACTTCCAAAATAAATTAGGTTTGCCCAATTTGGATGTCAAATGAATTTTTCATGAATTTTCAAAGTTGGAAGTTACAGGCTAAAAATGTATTTTCTGGGTAGAATTTGTTTTAAAGTTGTGGTTCAAAACTGTTTCAATTGGGAAAATATTTTGTTAAACTAAATTGATATTATCAAATTACAGTGTTTAAGCTTTCATTGGGCTTTGGATTTATTCAATTTGGGTTAGAATTGAATTTTTTATGAATTTTACAAGTTGAAGGTAGCAAGCTGAAAAATCTGTTTTGCTGACCGAAAATTTGGGGCGATTTCATTTCGGTGGTAATTGGGATTTTCATTCCAATTGAGGTAGGGAATGTTTCAGGATTATTTGTATGTTATATTGTGTGTTTGCCATGATTATACAACATATATCTATGCCTTGTATCAAATCTAGAAAGTTAATAATTTTTATTTCTTTGTATAAGATTTAAAATTTATGATGATGTATAAATTTGATTTGAATTGTAACATGTTAGGAAACTATGCTTAGATATGTTGGTTAACATATATTAAATTTGGATCATTTGATTAAGAATTATAACTTTTATTTAATATTTATCTTTAGTGAAAGTTTAATTCATATGATTGTATCAAGCATTAAATCAAGTTGTAATGTGGTATTTAAATAGGCCTCGGCATGTTCTCTAACATAGATTAAATTGAGGGCATTTGGAATTGTTTAAAAATCTAGAGGAAATTAATTAATTAGCTGATTAATTTTGTTTTAAGTATTTTAATCACTTAACTTGTCATTTGATGTTATATATATGATGACCATGACATGTCTTTCAATATATATTAAATTGAGGTTATTTGGATTAACTTGGAATTTAGAGAATTTAACTATTTATGTTTAATTAAATTCTACTTTATTACTCCATGGATTTAATTGCATTTTGGAAGTTGTTTCTAAATTTAAATCATGGATTTGGATTAGATGTATGTTCACTTGATTACTTTTGAGTATTGGATAACATAGTTGTTACTTTTATATTCATGAGAATATGTTTTTCTTTATTGAATATATTGTTGCTATGTGTAAGGAATTGCACATTTTGTATTTGACATCTTACATGCCATAGTAGTTGTGAATTTTGAGCATGTATTGTATAAGTTTCCAAAATTTGGATTGTGCTTGGTAAATAGTTGATATCTTGTATATATATGTTGATATATATACGTTGTTCCACAATTTGTTGATTTTGGAAACTTGGGGATGTCGTTGTTTGGCTACGGCTAGGACTTGGTTCTAGTACAGGGGATTGTCCCTCTATATAGTCTAGTGCGCACATAGGGAGGTTACCCATGGGCTAGTAACCCTAAAGTAACTATGTTGTTGGTCTGATCCAGCGTGACGTCCGAGTATCCACTTTGTTTGATTTCGTATTTTATGTCAAGTTGATAACTAGATGATATTGTAACTTTTTATTCCTTATTTGATTCCCTATTTTTAGCTTAAGATGTAGCTTCGTGAAAGCATGCTTCATACGTTGTATTGGAAGTTCCATTGTTGGTTAAATTGCATCGATATCATAATTTGTGTTTTGATGTTCAAATGTAGTTTAGGAATGACCTTATAGATTCATTTTAAACATAAACGTTAGGTGGCATGACCCACACTTGTTGTTTTCATATTTTGGATTTCAAGTTGAAGACTTTGAGAATCTATATCTTGTTGCCTTATATAACATGTTTCCATGTTGTTTGAATTGCATGAACAATGTGATTATGATATAAATGATCTAGGTAACTTAGGATGCTCCCTGGGTCTCATCTTGACTTAGACGTTAGGTGGTATGAGCCCCTTTAACATGTTTCACTATAAGGTGATAAAATTATAAAATGTTAGGTAGATGCATGCTCATCTCCTACGAGTAGCTTTATGTTACTCACCCCTACAATACTGGGGCATATTTCAGGTATAGGACTCAGGATTTGAAGATTCCATTGCTCATGGCTTACAGTTTCTATGTTTTTATTTTATGCAAGTGTTAGTATAAGACGCCTCTTTGTAGCCCTTTTTGTTTAAACTTGTATTCGTTGATTCGTTTTTGTAAAGTGTACATAAGTGCACTCTTTTCAATGTATTTAACATGTATGAGATGAGGTCGGAGGCCAATGACATGTATCTCGTTTTCTATGCACTTTTGTTTTCAAAGTTTGTTATGAAAATATTGAAAAATGTTAAGTCAGTGCTTCATAACTTTCGCATCGGGTGTTGGAATTTCATATATTTTCTGCCCGGACTCAGAATCAGACGATTCTTGAGTCTAATTTTGTTCATTTTTCGTTGTCCTTCCAATGGTGTGCATGGTGGCACCCTTTTCAGTGAGAAATGACCATTTTGCCCTTAGTTCATCTCTTTTCGGGTTAGGCATTCTTGCTTCATTTACTTCGCTCATTTGAGTTCCGTGGCTTCATGAAGAGTCATTTTGGGGCCTTAGGGATGACGTACATCTCTTGAGGTCATTTGGCTTCTTTCGCTTTCGCATTTCGGGTCCGTTATCGGGTCAACTTCTGGTTCATCACTAACGCACAGGGTTAAGAAATCCGGGTCGTTACAGAACTCATAATGCTCGTTGCTCAAAGCTCTAGGAAGAAGGCTTGCGTTGTTAGCCCGCGAAAAGGAGGTTCAAAGTAGTAATTTCAGTGCAAAAACCCAAAGTGCCGCGGGCTCCCGCCCAAGTCCCGCAGGCGCCCGCCCAAAAGGGCAGAGAGTTAGAGTACCGCGGGCGCCTGCCCAAAGGCCGCGGGCGCCCGCCCTGCGCCTGCGGGCACCCACCATTTTGTAGACAGCTCTGCGTGGTCTGCATTGTTTGGTTCAAGGCTGTCCCTTTGACCCATTGTGTGGTCTTGATTTCTAGGGTTGTTCGGCCACGAAAATAGAGGGAAAAGGAGGATATTTTTTGCTAAATAAGGGCTTGGAGGCTAGTATTAGATCTATCACACATTTCAGTAAGCTTCTAGAGAGAGAAATATTGTAAGGTGAGGGGTCTGTGTATTCTTGAGCTCAAGGTGTGAAAATGGAGTTGAAGATCACTCCTTATCCTTCCTCTCTTACATACATGAACAACTAACTCCCTATCTAGGGAGGTGATGAAGCTCTCTCTAGCAAACATGTTCTAGTCTTGGTTTATTTTGGGGAAAATGATGTATATATGTGATTATTTCACAATTTAAAGGTTACACTTGATGTAATGAACCTAAATTCGTATAAATGATTATAATGAATGTATTATCTTGTCTTAGATCATATTATCTCATGATTGTATGGCTTGCATTTTCATAGTGACAATGGAAATGAGATTGTGAAATGGGTTTCTTGGCATATTGTATGAGAATCTTGATATTCCATAGCTTAGGACCCTCATTTGATGGATTATTCTTGACTCTTGACTTCATGTGCTCCTATCATGTGATTGAAGGCTGGATAATCTCTAACTTAGCAAGCATGTCTAAGGCTACACACTAGTTTAGGTAGTTCAAGCATGTATAACTTTGATAGGTTATTCTTGCCATTGATTTCATGAATTTCTTGAAGGAATGTAACAATTTTGTGTTGTAGCATTTCATGGTCACATATTTATGTTGTTTCCCCAAGTTAATCTCAACTAGCATGTTAATAGGGTAGGTAGTGGATTCACTTCCCTAGTCCCCTCTACATTATTTCTATCTCTTCAATTCCTTGCAAGTATTGCTTTATGCAATCTCTAATTCCTAGTTTCTAAGTGACAAACCAACCAAAACTCTATACCCCTTTCATCAAATTAAAAGTGAATTTAAAAACCTTGGTTGCCATAAACTAGCAATCCCAGTGGTTCGACTTACCCGACCAATAGCCCTATTTTACAATGATTTGTGCTATTGCAAAGGGTTGATTTAATATAGATCGAATCTTAACCGATCAATTTTTGGCGCCGTTGCCGGGGATTGCAAACGGTTTTGTGACCGAGGTTTTAAAGATTAACTTTGGTTTGATTTGTGAATATAGTGTTTTGTGAATATTTTTCTTGTCGGTTTTGACTATCATTGTGTTTTAAGTTCTTATGAGATTCTAAGGACTCAAGGCTTGCTGAGGGAAAGCTAGCAAATTTGTAAGTCTAGAGGACTCCCGGTAAGTTTTTCAAGGTTCTAGTTTCAAAATTGTGAATATCTTACATGTGTTTAACTTAGTGATATTTAACTTGTGAGCCCTTGTCGAGGCTATTTCTATTTTACTATTTTACAAAGCATCGGTCCTTGTTGTGGCCATTTCTTTTTTATAATATTGATAATTGAGGAGAAAGGGAACATTACATGTGGATGTTTTGGTGAAGGGTTGTTGTGTATCTTGTTTGTGTTGTATATATGTTATTTACGAAATTTTTATTTTTTATATATCTCAACAAAAGGCTGAATTAGTCCTAGATGGAGGGTAATTATCTTCCAACTCAATTTTATACACCACATGAGTTTTGTGCATTTTGCTCTAGTCATACGCATCATACAAGAGATTGACTTCCACCGGGACAATTTTCAAACTTTTATCTAGAGCAACCAACTGAAAATTCCTTTGAACCAGGCAATGATCCACATTTCAATGGTTATAACTCGGGTTGGGGAGATCATCAAAACTTCTTGTGGAATAACATGGAAAATTCAGCCCCACAATCTCATGGGCAACACTTTCAAGCCAATTTTCAGCCCAATGATCATTATTTCCAACCCCCTTCTCCTTTTCCATCATCTCAATTGGATGAGTTGATTGCTGCCAACAAACAAATAATGGATTCTAATAAGCAAATGTTGGATGATATTGTTAGCATGCAATCCACCACCTATTCTCATTCCCAATCTAGATTTGATGACCAAATAGCCCGAATTCAACAAAGTGTTAATGTTCTTAATCATGAAGAGGGAGAAGAATTTCCAATTGAACTTGTGGCCCATCCAAAAGAAATGTCATGACTCAGAAAATTTCCTCCTTTTTTTTTTTTGGTAATTTCATTTTTCGTCTTTTCCCTATTTCATTCTTTAGTCATTTTTCATTTTTCCTTGCAAAAACCTCACTTTTTGTGTTTGGATTTGATTTCAGTTTTGCATACATTCATGATATTTGATTTCTAAGACAACTACGTTTACACTTTTGTAGAAAAGCATGTTAAATGTCTACTTCACTTGTAAAGGGTATGACTGCATAACTTTTGGTAATTAATCATAACTTGAGGGGTTTTTGTGTTATTAAATAAAGTAATTATTTTTCGTCATAGGGACCATTTTGCAATTTAATTTGGAATATATTTTCAAAAAGAACCTTTTCGTAATTTTCA